ACACAACCCTTTTATGTCCTTAACATAAATAAATATTGAATGAAAAAAACACTATATTAAATATCTTAGCAATAACCAATAAGGAAGGTTAACAATGGAAATGACGAAATTCACTGGGAAATGACGATCGAAAGGTATAGGCTTTAGTCTCTCCTTCGTAAACAGATACATCACTGGAACGAAAATGCGCCTTTTCGCGTAATTAATTATGGATACTTTTGCCAATGATTAATCTCTACATCGTAGTGTGTTGCGATCTAGGCTATGTTCTTTCGTATAAAACGGTCTTCTTACATCGCAGATGTAATCTGTGACCTCAAGAAGCCAATACCTGTTTTATAAGGTTTGTCTTCATACTGCCAGTGGAACATTTTATAGAACTGATCTAATCAGCGGCTTTTGAAACCACAAAGGTTCATTACAAACTAAACCATTCACTGCGGAGTGGATAAAGGAACGTAAGACTCTAATTTTTGTTTTTTTGTGAATGAGCAGAATATCATCAGTAGCGTCTTGCTAGTTTTCTTAATCGTTTTCCCAACTTTTTCATGAAAATGGAAGAAGAAAATGGAACATTAACTTCTGTTAATCAAAAAACAATGGGGATTCACATTTTCGTCGCACTATTGATGTCTGTTCTTGCTATAGCTGCTTTTCTTGGAAATCTCCTAACCATCATTGTGCTGGTCCAGTATAGGTTTTTATTAACCAACTCGTGTAGCAACCACCATGTTCTGAGCCTAGCTGTTGCCGATATTGGTGTTAGCGTGATTGCCTTACCTTCAACGCTGTCTGTCTATTTGACCGGTCACTGGCCATTTGGAGTCGTGCTGTGCATTGTAAAATCTATTCTTGGTAGTACATTAATTTGTGTGACTATGTTTACGTTGGTGTTCATAAGCTTTGATCGCTACCTTCTCCTAAGCAAAGACTACCCGAAGTATCAACGATGGCAAAGAAATAACGTTATTAAAGTACAAATAATTTTCGTCTGGGTTTTTCCTTCGGTTTTGTGGACTATAAATATATTATTGTTTGTTTACGAAGCTGAGATGAATCCTACTCTTGACCCTTTCTGTAATTTCCATTTATATCCTTCACTTATATTCAAGATACTTTATTCCGTGTTCTTGTTATTTTTTCCTTTACTTCTTCTGATATTTTTCAGTGTACAGACATTTGTATTGATAACGCGTCGAATTCGTCAGCGACGCGTTGGCATTTATCATCCTGGAGCACTAAATAACACTGTAAGTCAACGGGTTTTCCAAAAGATAACCAAAGAAACCAAGCAATCGTCGCATAACTGCTCGGACAGTCGCACAATGACCGGCCAGCAAGTCTTCGAGATTAATGAATCACTTCATGACAACGTTAAGTACAGCGATAATAACGACACACATACTCAGCAACACTGCCAGTCAGCGGATAATATGAGAGGAACGTCTAAAACTCAGCAAAATAGTTCATCAAGAAGACATAGGCAATTATGGAAAAAGCAGATTACTAAACAACGATCAATAAAACGAGATTACATCCGACCTGCCGCTCTACTGGGTGCCCTTGTGTCCGCCTTCACATTTTGTTTATTACCGTTCAGCATTCTGGGATCAGTCCAGGCCTTCCGGGGTGTCTATGACTCTGAATCCAGTTGGATGTACATTCACCTGACAGCTTATCTGAATGCGTTTCTCAACCCATTGCTCTATGCAGCTACGAACATTAAAATCAGAGCGGCCATAAAGAAACTTATTCGCAAGATGTGCTCTTCATGTACCATCAGACGATGTAGTACGCCTAGATGTAGTCATGTTAACAGTTCTTTCGTCCATCCGATAAGAAGGGACAATATTATAATTGACACGAAAGTACGTTTAAATAATGGTGAGCTATAAAATAGTGATATTTCAGGGAGCTTAAGGAACTAGATTACTGTAGGCCTATATAAAGCAAGTTACAGCTTTGATCATTTTGACATCTGTGTTTTATTAAAATCGGCAAAAAATGAGTTGCTACTGCCGAAAAATATGGAGGTAGGGGACGGTTTACAAATGTTCCTTTCGAGCCACAATATTCATAACTTAATTATTATTTATCTTATTCATTTGATTTTGGTGTTCGATAAAAATGTTCAATGGTCCTCAAGGTCCAATTGAGTGCCCTGTAAATGAGCCACCTTTACATACCACACTGCCTACTTTTATATATATATACATTAGTCAATATATTTAACAATGCCTTAGTGGAGGCTATTTTGATTTGTAACGAAAATAAAGAAAAACTTGATATGTAAGTGTAGTGTAGAAGCTACTGATCTCTATTATTATAGTTGGATTGCTCATCAGCCAATCATTGTACAGAAAAAAATGAAGCCAATGGCGCTATGTTGGGGGAGGCCACGTGACGTACGAGTCTTTTGGCATTTGTTATAAATTATTGTTAAAAATAACGATTGCTATAAAACTTTTTAATACAGTAATAAATTTAACGTAAGGATTTTTTTCAAATCACCTAACCACTCAACGAGCCTGTTTATGCAGTTTACAAAAACGCGAGTGATGTGTTGTTGGTGCCCGTTTGTTCAAAAGTTTAGCGCAGTGATGACGTATCTGTTACGCTTAGGCTCCCCAACACGCGCGTCGGTAACTGCCAATGAGCAATCCAGCTATTGTAATAGAGATCAGTTGTAGAAACCAGTTCTTTATGAAATACAGCAAATTGAATTGAAATAGTTCAGTAGAATCATGTGCTAGGTTTTTATATTTCAAAGACAAATGAGACCAGTTGTCTGCTTGTTGTATACAACTGTCGCTTTTGACAATAAAGGACAAGACGGAGCACAATACCAAGGGGAAAAAAACGCCATCAGAATTGGTAATTTTAGAGGATAATCTTATTTTTTTAAAGATTTTATATCAACGTTTACTTGTAAGCAATATTATAGTTATATCATAGAGTATAAAATGGCCATTCTATACTCTTTGGTTATATGTAAACATTCTGGATATTATCATATATGCTTACGTATATGGTATGTGTATGTTTAAGATCTATAGACATATAATTAAAGCATCTCATGAGTTGCCTTTTGGATACTTGCGTTGTAAAAATAGTATATTAATTTTAAAGCTAATAGTGTGTTTAAGATCTGGAGAGGAAGAGTTGATTCGTCTCAGATGTGAAATTTGAAATCAGTCGTCACAGAAAAATGTTCTGACCAATCAGAAACAGATTAACACACGCGTACCAATCATTCACACCATCGAAATCGATAGTTATACTGCTTTTCGATGTGCTATTACGACGTCACAAATCTAAACGAAACAGTTTTTCTGCACTTTAATAAGTAATACCATACGGCATAGTTTATTAGCATATCTTTCCGAATTACTCATCGTATAAAACTCATTAATTAATAACTTATAAAGCAACTTTATAAGTTTAATTTGGTTGTTAATTTTATTACCTTAATAAAGACATTATTTTATCAACATCTAAACAAAAATCAGTGGTATGATAATCGACATTTCCGGAACGTCAATCACTCAGAACAACCGACCAATCAGAACAGGGCCAGGAATACACGCGCGTCTAACAGCACATGTGTTGTCCCACAAACGCACGTGTTAGCGTATGTTTGAACCTGTTGTTTTGTGGGGCCTTAGCAACAATATCCAAGGGGAGGGGCGTATTAATATTATCTTTCTGCTACCCCCCACGTTTTGGATGCTTGTTAAGCTATGGACTTTAAAAAGCGTACAAGTACGTAACGTTGCGTGTTTGTGAGACACGTAAGATTCCTGATCATTAAATGATACTTTCTGATTGGATAGTTGTTAAGTTTGATTGACACCCTGAAAAGATTTATTAGTACAAAACTACCAATATAGAAACAAACAATTAATATTAAAATGTACAATTTCCCAAAAATTCAGTTAAAATATGAAACTAAATGAATCACTAAAATCACGGAAATTACAGTTGAATTACAGCTGCTATTACAAACGTTGCCGCCACGAAATACGACAGGCGATACATGGACTCGATTGCATAGAGAACCATTGCTATGGTGAAGATATAGATCAACCGAGATGCGAACTTAGCAAAGCCTCTGTGGATAAGAAATACAAAAATCAGGTTGAGGTATGCATGGCTTAATCTCTGCACAGATTATCAATTTTTTTTTGACAAAGGACTGTTGTATGCCCATATATAGTCATGATGTGCCTATATATGGTCATGATGTGATGTCATCATGACCATATTTAGTCATATCACATTTTTTTTAAAAATAAAATTGACAATGATAGTCTGGACAGGGCTTCATAAACCTATTCAAAAATTATGAAAACATTATTTAACAATTTCCTCGTTGAAGGAAATAAGTACTGTAAACCTAAATAGGCAGCTGCTATGAAATATGAAATCACTAAAGGTAATCCAGTACATGAATACTACATAATACTATTGATGATATCTATTGTAATAAAAATTGGTTTGGCAATATGGTACTTATTAAGGAAACAAATTCAAAAAGAGTTACATAAAAACAACATCGGAGCGGTTTGGCGCAGTTGTAACAGTTTGGTTTGCTCCCTTAAGGTCAGGGTTTCGCTTTTATCACAGATTATAGAATTGTAAAAGGTCCGACTGACCTGATTCTGTATTCACGCAAAGAAACGTTGTACCACTACGAGATAAAAAAAAATTTACCACCACGAGATAGGGGGTGCTGTATTAGAATTTGAACAGGTACGTTCTTTTGAAGAACGCCCTCTAGCTCCTGGTAGTACTTTTTAAAATAGGAACCCAGAGCGTCGGACCTATTGCAGTTCTATACTCTTTCATCCTTGAACACGGCACTTTATTTGCTTTTTGCCTTTCTCTAATCAGAATATAAAAGGTGGCCTGCCCCTACACCGAATAAAAATGTGGACTCAATGACCACAGAAAAAAAAGAGCATTGTAACCGAAAGGAATTATAAAGTTAAATACTTGACTTCACTTACGAAGCCCAGTGACTAATGTTTAAATTGACAGCACAAGTTTGGAACACTAAACTATAAGCAATCGCAGCGCGTATGCTTCAAAAATAACAAGTTCAATAATGATGACAAACAGCAATCTACAATACTTCAACAAGATGGGAAAGTAATTATTGTGATACTCACATATTAGTTGGTAGGGACTTATTCGGATCAATAAGAATCGCAAATGCTGAGCACACTGCAAGCGAAGTGAACCTCGCAGGATCAGTTGGTAGTGAGTAAGCATACCTGTTTATGGAATAATAGTAATAAAATTCTTATATTAACAATGAAGTTTTGCAACCTCACGTAAACGCTAAACGCTTACGTAATTATTTATCAATTCAAGTAAATTTATACATTGACAGCATGTATGATTATAGAACTGTCAAATGAATCTTTTGCAGTGCGAGTCAAACTTAACAATTCTTATAATAAAACACACATGTTTATGCACGTTTACGCTGTCGTAATGAGGGACCTTAAAACAATATTAAAGGGGTAAAGCTTAAAGGAACTGTACTTTGTCTTGCCCTAAAACATGAGAAATCATCACTCAAATGTCCTGTCTTACGCCACACCTCAGGGCACAAGTGCCCTCAATAAATAACCCCACCAAAATTTTCAATATCGTTGCTACCGTCCCTCAAACAGACACGCGTTACACACAAATGTAAACTTTTGTGTAAGACAAGCGCGTATTTCTCCTAGCCCGCCTACTGAATACCATGTTCTCATTGGTCAGTTGCTAAGTTTGATTGACAGGTGAGAAACAGAATTTATGTAAGCACGAATAACAAAAATATAAACTCTTAGATTACAAAACATTCTAATTAAACAAAATAAAAAACAAAAACAAAAAACAAACAAAACACAACACAAAAAAAAAAAAAAACACAATTATTACAATCTAAATTCAAATGCAAACTATATGATACTTACTTTAGATGATTTGCCCAAACTATTAGGGATGGCATATTAATCACTACCATACATAGTAAAAGCATCATCAAAGTAAAATGATAGTTGTAAACATCTTCAGCGATATCTAAAGGAGTTGCCTTCCGTTCTGTTTTAGTTTTTGATTCTTTATCAGCATCGTCGTCTGAACCATTGTCGTCCTTTGGTTCTTCAGTTTCACTTTCACTTTGGTCTTCCTCGGTCGATGGCAGGTTTGTGCCATTACATAGGTCTGAACTACTTTGTGTCTAAGGCATAGATGGATAACGAAATTGTGTATACATTGCTTCCAAAACCAACTTTATTTTACATGTTCAATATCACGGGAAGAAACTATGTGATGGTCTGTAAGTCTTATAAATAACCATTTTATTATGCGGTTTATAGCGTGGTGTGATGTCTCGTTAACATGATGAAGCACGGTTTAGAAGAAAACAACTACTTAAAAGTTTACAAAAAAGCGAGTTGGAGAATCTAAAGAGTAGGATTTTAAGACAGGAACAATGCCTTTGATAGGAAGCCTGAGGTTCATCACCATGGAGATAAGCAATTAATCATGAGCAATATCAAGGCAGATTGTCGAAAAATATAGGTCTTTGACAAGTGATACTTTTCATCAGTGAATAAAGAAATTAGCGGTATTGACTGATTAGATTTCCGCTTACAACTGTATTGAATGCTGGGTAAAAACATTATTGTCAACAACACAAAGGAATTAATATTTAGTAAGCACGATTGATGAACGTTTTAAATATCATCTACTACTGTCAATGATTGTTACTATACTCCTGCATTTGGAACGGCTAACAAAGTTAAAAAATCTGTATGCATAGTAAAACATTTCAATTACTTACCAAATTCATGCAGTTTCGGATACATATGACGTTTGTATATTTCTTGGAAACCTTAAATAAAAAATATGTCTTGTTATTAAATGCGATGTGTTTTAAGTGTCGGCACACTGTAAATATACAACCGATGCATTTTTCGCCCTCCAATTTAATTTTAATTTTGGGACTCAGGGTTTGGTCTCAAATTAGAGGGTTACCTTTGTGTAATATATTGATGGTTGTTGTTTCGTTTATTAAAAAGGTGGTCTCGAATTAAAGGGGTCTCGGAGTTGAAGGGATCTCGATTTGCAGGGTGCACTGTACTAACAAACATAATAACGCGGTGAAATAGTGTTTGAAACAACTTAGTGTTAAATCACAGGCCTACTAAATCTAATGCACGTCAAAAGAAGGTAATGCCATCGACTATTATTATTTTTTAAATACGAGGTAAAATATCATATCATTAATCATTCTTCGGCCTAATTGAAATTAATATATAAATAGCATCAGAGCCTCTTTAAATTGCTGAACGTAAAACACTTTTGGAAATAAAAACAATTCTCTGGACGCTATTATTAACAAAAGAAAATGAATAAAATTATTGGTATGATTACGAACAGAAACATCCAACATAAGTGAAGAGACTACAATTAAAAAAAAAAATGTAAACTATTATACAAGTAAAACATACAGTATTGCAGTATAAATACAAGTTGATGTAGGCTTAAAATCGATCAGATTTAAACAACAATAGATCTTAATTTAGTCCACCACCTGCCAGAAGCCGTGCAGATATTGTAAATGCCGCCATAGTCGATAATTACGAGCCTACCTGTCCAAGCGTTGCGAATAATTATTAGATTTAACAATTATAATTTGAATTTAACACAATGAGCTTGCTTTTTGTGAACCTAGCTATAATCAACGTCATAACAAATTGCATTTTCTTCTGCATACCTTATTAATAACATACAAATACGATTGCGTTTATTAAAATCATTACATTAGGAGCCAATAAAAACGATTGTAGTAATGTTATTATTTTCGTATTATGCTTAATATTTTTAAATGATAATAATCATCACAGAAGCATTATCGTCATAGACGTCATCGTCAGCACAATCACCGTCATCGTCATCAACAATTTTTTTTTTATAAAATGGGTAAGTAATTAATACAGAAGAACCAATCTTTTGGGACACTCCAGTGAGGGGACACTTTTTCGGGGCACTAAACGAGAGAAAGTGCAACACTACGGCCAACCTCTATTCGGAGGACACCCCTATTAAGGGGACACTTCATTTTGATCCCGAAGGTGTCCCCTCAATAGGGGTTCTATTGTATTTATTTAAATGAAAGTACTTACGTGGGCTATACTCATACAGAGGGCTAGAATCAAAGAAAGGGTACCACTAACACTGGCAGCCAAAGCAATTAAAACACCTACACAACTGTACAACATCCAAGGAATACCGGCCTGAAGAGTGGCTGGCTCAGCTGGATTTGATATTGGGGTTCTGGAGAGAAGTATTGAATTAAATTAAATCAATTGCATATTCTTTGATATTATGAGCAACAGTGCATAATGTGTAAATACATGAATATTTCTCAAGTAAAGTGATACCTGCAATATCAAGATTAATATTAAAATTTAGAAATAAAGCATTTACTCAAACTTTACTGTGGTTAGATAATAAAATATTGTATATTTGTCAAGCTTAGGATCAGATTAAAGGGAAACGTGTTGAATGCATACTGCTGAATTCGAATTAACTATCTTCTCGATTTGCAAGGTCTTACTGCAAAAGTGACATTGAACGTTATGACAATCCAAAAATTGAGGCCCCTATTCATTGGACCTTTCAGGGGTTACAATCAAACAACTGACCAATCAGAACAGGACCAGGAATAGACGCGTGTCTAACGAGCACGCGTGTTGTCCCACAAACGCACGTGTTTACGTATGCTTTATCACTGTCGGTGGTCTGTGGGACCTTAGCAACAATATCCAAGGGGCAAGGCTTAGCAGAAAGGTCCATTGTCAAATCATTACCACAGTCGTGTCGTCACGACGTCAGGTGGCGTTCTCTGTTGTCAACAGACGTTGGTTATCGTTCATTACGCCTGAATGACTTCATAAGCTTTCTGGAATAGGCATTTTAAAATCTAATATTTTACCATCAAAATGTACTAAAGACACAAAAGCTCGCATTATATTAGTTATCGAACACACATTTAATCATCAATTAAAATTTACATAAAAAAAGATAAAACATCTCAATAATTACGTTAGAAATTGGGATCACTGGTTTGTCAGTGAAGAAAATGCTGTCCGGCTGAACGCTTTTTGCAAAGATAGCAACGGAGTAGTACCACATGGTATCGTGACGTAACACTGTAGTACTGTATAAAATCATACAGCATACAATATATCCTACGACATCATTATAATATGACAACTGTAACTAACAATGTACATTTCTCGTTGATAATCTTGCAAATAAATTATAGGTTCATTATAATATGTAGTGAATATGCATTGTTACATGTACTTTATTGCTGTATAGCAAAACTGCACAGTTACATAAGCGTGGGCTGTATTTACAAATAGTGTGGTGTTGGGGAAGCGCCAGACATGGGTGGCGCCAGGGGGGG